GTTTAGATTGATATTTAAAGATTTGTGAATTAGACTTATTTAAATAGTATAATCATATCAAATAATAAATTTATTTAAAATAAAGAGTTCTTGTAAAATAGTGTTTATTATGACTTTTTAGATAGGTTTTATAAAATAATAATGAGTATTTTAAAACTAAATAGGTTTTAAGAAAAGTATTTTATGGTTACTTTTGGTTAATATATAAGGCATTCAGCATTTAATAACTTTTTAAAAGTTAAACAGTCTTTTTCAAAAAGATCTTTAAGGGGATTATATATAATACAAAATTATTAATACCAATAATTAATTGACGTAAAAAATTTTTCTCTCTGAACTTTTACTCAAAATTGCAAATATGCAGTCTTTTAATATAACTATATTTATTTTCGCTTATATAATTAGTTTTTAGTTAATTGGAACGAAAGGATTATTACTTATTATCATGAAATTATTGAAAAAATCATTAGAGTAAACCAATGCAATCCAAACTAGGCCTTCAACTCCATTCTAAGCAATCAAAAAAGAAAATAATTTTTAGTTAGAATGACCAAAAGTTAGATTAAAAATATATATAGCAAACTTTATTTTTAAAATGTAAAGTTAAGAAAATGAGTAAATATACCCTTGAAATTATAAACTAGAAACCCTATATTAAGTTTATTGAGAGCTTTAGGGTTACATTTATTTATATTATGCAATACATATCAAGCAAAAAACAGCTCAAAATTAGGTCAAAGTATTTTTTTATCATTATATTGTCCTAATTCTTTTTATTTTTAATTCATTCAAAAGCAATGTTTGTTTGCATTTTTATTAATAAACCATAATAGTTTAATCAAATAGATTTAATTAACATTGATATTTTTTAGCTTAATCAATCAATTCTTAAATTTCTTTGATAAAATTCATTTGGTTTTAATAGTTTTCATCCTTTTATGCACATTTTTACATTTCTTAGATCATATCAATTAGTTAAATGATTAAATTCTTTTCAACTAAAAAAATAGAAATTTAATACTTGAAATATCCTTTAGTATATCCAATGATTATTAAATATCCTATTAATCATATTGTTGTAATGATTCTAAATGATATTGAATGTCCTTTTTGAATATCTAATCCTTATTTTTTAAATTTATAATTATTTGACTTTATGAGACTTTTTCTTTATCCTTTTCCTTTTCAATTAATTATTTTAAATCCTTCAGTAATTATTCTTCACCTAATGTTTAAATTGAAATCTTTTTTGTTTGATTTGATTATTAAGTCTTATCTCTGTTTAAGAACTATTCTGCGATCAATTTATCACTTATTTCATTCAGTTTTTTATTATAATTCTTTCTCATATGTGCTATTTAATTTAATAATTCAGTCTTTTTCTCTTTGCTTTCATTTTTGTATTCTTTTAATACCCTTTCACTTTCTGTATTAAATTCCTTCCATTACTTATCCACATTTTCGATACTTTAATATTTTATTTATGGATTCTCACAAATACAATCAACACATGCAAATCTATCTTCTATTTTCTTATTCTATGAATCTGAATCCATATCAATCAAAATAATCTCCTTTTTATGAATACTACAAATTTACCTATCGCAAGCGTTCTACGATAATTAGGAACGATTGTTGACAATGATGCTCAAGGACATCATAATAAAAAGAAGAAGGTGAAGTTTAAACTTTCGCATCAAGGGCACCTTTGTAGAGACCCGGTCGAGGCTAGACCCTCGGAAGAAGATGTGCATTTAATATTGACTTCTAAATAATAAAATTAAAAATTATACAGGCCCACAATTCTTTATTCTCTCAACTTAATTATGCTATCATTAGAGGATAAATAATACCTGTAGAATTATTTGAAATTACCCTTTCAATTTTTTTGAATATTAGGACCTCTATTTAATTCCTTTGACTAATCCACAATTTTTCTTGTTGTAAATAGAACGAGGATTGTTTGTCGTACGATTAACCTTTTGAAACGTTTGGCTAAAATTTAGAAGTTCAATATTAGTAAGGTTTAGTTTTATTAATCTCTTATTCTAAAGAATTATCAACTCCTTATATGGTTTCCCTGGACAATTATTGAAAACAAAATAATTTATCACCTTGCAGGATAAATTTTTCCTTGTAATCAATAGTTACCATTATTGCAAGCTAGAGTTGTAATTAAACAAATCATAAAAAATAAAGCTTTCCTAAAAAGAATAATCACTTTTAGACCTTGATATCTCTTCTTATTTTCTCATATTGGGATTCCACATTTTTTGAGATGGATTGTTTTTTATTGATCTCATATCTTAAATAAATAATACTATAGAGAATTAGTTATTTCCATACTTGAATTTATTCAAAATTATTTCTTTTGCTTTAACTAGCTTTGCATACTTAAGAATATTTAAATAAACTAATCTTTAATTAGACACCCTTATCCAGTGCATGTTTATTTATATTCATAAACTTTTTCTTTTTTTTAACAATCAGTTTGTTTAGTCTAAAAAGACATAGATTGAATATTATTTGAGCAGAAAGGTCTGACTAGAATTAGAAAGTGATAAATTTCAATGGCAAATTAAGAATCGATAATTCCTCAATAATTTTATTCTTATAACTATATTAAGCAGAATAGTCTAAATTATGAAAAGTATTTGTTGGTTTCACTTTATTCTTAATTATTAGTAAGAACTTAAGAATTTTTATGAACCTCTCCTCTCTAAGGATAAATAAATAATAATACTTCTTCTACCTTATAATTAGTTACTTTTGATTCTTAAGTTCATTTTAAGAGGTATTTACTATAATTCTTTTTAAACTCTTATACTGATATAATAATGAATACTCTTATTATTTTTTAGATTATGGTATTCAGTTGATTATGGAATTATTATTCACTTAGTTAAATAAGCATTAATTTTGCTCTAATGCAGGTAGATTAGAATAAGTTAATGATATTGAAATTATAATTAACAATTTCTATAAGGATTAAAAATTTTAAAATCAGCTTAAGTATTTTAGGTTTTGGTAGGTAATTAACATTTTCTGTAATTAATGATATTTATAAAAATTTTGTGAATAAATAATTCTTGGTTTTCTAAATTAAAACTCTAACTAGATAATAACAAATCTCCAAGTCAAATTGAATTCGCCAAATCATTTCAATTTTAGATATCTATATCTTTATTGATCATTTTTAGGAAACTCTTTAAACCAGAAAGTTTTTGCTGAGCTTTTACTCAATAATTGTTTTAATGATACAAATAGAAGTTAATCTTTAATATTCTAACAAATATACAGCTATAAAAGTTAAAAGTCACCAATTAGAAAATGAAAGAAATTTTTTACAAGACCAAACTTTAGTCATGTCCAAATACCTAATCAGCAAAGAATTCTATATTTCAACCATAATTTTTATTGATTTTAAATTTTTACATAAAGACTTTATAATTCATTCAAAAACTATGTTTGTTTGCATCTTATAATTTGATTAGATATAAATATAGGTTTATATGCAATATATATCTATTCCTCTGATGACTTATATATTTTAAGCAGTTTATAAAATTATTTAAAGTGGTGCAACACAATTGCATTCATATGTCTAATCTCTTTTTATTCAAAATACAACTAGTACACTTTTTATATTTAATTATTTAGATTTATAAATTTAATATTTATAAATAGCTTTTATATTATTCATCATCAAATTGGTATATTATCTAATAATTTTATTTTACATTTACTACCAACACCCACACATGGATATAATTCTTATGAAGTATCTATATCCAACTACTAATAATC